ATAATTCCCTGATTTTCAAATGGAAGTGTATTTTTGGTAGCAGATGCATTTCTGTCCATCTGCCAATGTTGCCTGTCATTCTGACAGTGTTTCTGAATATTCTTGACATGGGAAAACTTTGTGGATGATGTGGAGAAAGGCAAGGCATGGGGAGGACAGGCTACAGAGCACAGGTGTTCTGGGAGAGCGGAGGAGAGGATTCCAGTGGAGCAACTCTACCTGCTCCTTGGAAATGAAGTTTAGAGCCCGCAAATGGCTGCCCAGGCAGTGGCAGATGAGGGATGCTGCAGCAAATGGGACCAGGATTGGGCCTTTCCTTTGTATAATTTTCTATGGTGAAATGGAGCATGTTCCCAAGCAAATGTGGCATCCCATGCATGCTCAAGTGGGAAAAAAGAGCATCAAAAATAGACCGGTGCTTTTTTGACTGGTTGGGGAATGCTGGAATTGCCAAACATTTTTCTTTCTAAATATGCACAGGATTGCATTCTGAATGCACTCAGCACCAGGGCAACAGAAACAATTCTTTTTTTAATCCCTTGTGAACATAATGGTGCTTGGCTTTCAATTTTAAACATGAAAGCACATGCTCAAGAGGGGAACATGGGGGTGCAAACGTGTTTCTGTGCTTTGCTCTGATGTCTCAGAAACATAGCCATGGTTGCAAAGCAAGAGGCAAGAGAAATATTAGTTGTGTGCTTCACAACTGAAGTACCACATGACCATCTACAGTCCCACCCCACCTTAACCCAAAAGCCATTAAGTCCAGGGGCATCTGTAGATTACCTCTCCCCACCCAATAATTCCAGGAAGTAGGTCTCTGCATAAGCCTGCTCAAAACACACCTACTACACCAAAACCACTCTTTCATTTGGGGGAATTCTACCACAAAATTACACATACACACAGAGATTGAGAGAATTGCTGGCACACACAGCTTTATACAGTAACAAAGGCAAGGCAGAAGACAGGTGTGAAAGATCAAAAAGTAGTGGTAGTAATACAGGATTTTTTTATACAATTCCCTCCCGCTCCCCCAGTCAATCAGATAACATTCTTAAGGCTCAATTTAGGCGAGGAAAAATGACCATGCATTCCCAGCATGCCCTGGCATGGCTGCCTGGGGCATGCTGGGAATAGTACGGCTCTTCTTTTCCTTTTATGCAATGAATTGCAGGCTCCCCCCCCCCCCGCCCCCGCCGCCACTTCCCAGGGAGCACAGCTGGCCACGGCATGCTGGGAACTGCCAGCTTTTGTTTGTGTTTTTGCCTAAACCAACGAATCTTGCTGGGGCATGCTGGGGGTTGTAGGCGCCCCTTCACGCCAAGCACGCTTGCCTCTTTTTCTCCAGCCAGCGCGCTGGGAAGTGCAGATTTTTTTCTTTTGGTCTAAAGCGGAGTAGGAGCGCACCCTCTCATAAAGCACAGCCAGGGGAAGGGTTACCCTGAAATGATTTCCCAGCGCATAATCCAAAATACTCCCTGCGCTAGGTATTAATAATTCGCAGCTGGTCTGGATGGAAAAAGCGGGCGGGGGTGGCGGGTCTGAGCAGATTTAGGAGTTGAGCTGTCCAGGTGAGTTTTCTTCCAGGGCCCCGGGACAGACTGAGCGGCGCCTTTTCGACGCCCCCTCCTAACCCTGCCCCCCCCTCGCGCTCCCCGCTTGATTTGTGGACCTTTTGCCCTAACGGAGACGCGCGGCGTCCTCGGCCGGGCTGCGAGTCGGGATGGGGCCGGCCGAGCAACGCGGGGATGCGGGGGCTGCCTTGGGAGGACGGCGCACGGAAGGGGGGCCTGGAGACGGGAGCGGGCTCGAGTGCGCCTGGAGAAGGAGCGCGGCGTGCGCTCCCGGCGCTCTCAGGAAGGAGAGCGGAGCGGCGACCACGGCGGCGGGCGGGAAGCGGAGCCCGGCTTCCAGCCCCCCTCTTTCACCGACCCGGCGGGAGGCGTTGGCCAAGCCTCTCTTCCTCGGTTCCTCCCGCCTGGCCTGCAGGGAGCCCGAGGGGCCGCCCGTGGCCCCCGCGGTCCGCTCTGAGCCTCCCGGCGGTCCTGCGCGGTCCAGAAGGCTGCGAAGCGGAGGTCCGGAGTCCGAGGCGCGCTGACCGGTGGGCGAGCCACGCGGGACGCGGCGGGTCCCCTCCGCGGAGACCAGCCGGCGCTTGCGCGGGCGAGGAGCGGCCGAGCTCATCCAGCGGACCGAAAGGTGGTGGCGAGGTCCAGAGGGTTCCGCTTGGCCCGCCCCCGCCCCGCGAGTCGGGGGGGGGGCGCATCCCAGGCACCCCGGGATCTGGCTGAGCACCCAGGCTGACCCCCGCCTCCCTCGGCCAGGCAGACTGCGGAGGCAAGGCTCTTTTGCAAATCCAGAGAAAAGCCTGCACAGGAGTCGGGCATGGCCAGCGCCATCCCTGCCCTATGGCAGGCTCCACTCGCGGATACTCGCAAGAGCTGCCTCCGCAGGGTCCTGCTGAGAGCTGTGGGGCTTCTTTGCTGCCTAAACATGCATAGGATCCCGTCCTAGATGCGTTGCTTTCGGTCCGTAGCAGCCGCTGTAAAGTAACATTCCCACATTCTTTTCCCTGGGTTAACGTGGTCACTGCTAGAGAAGCCCCGCTGAACTCAAGGAGACCTACTTTTTATTGATGTCAGCGGGGCTACTCTAAGCAGGACAAAGTCGGGATGTGGCCCGTAACGAAGGACAGACGCATGCGCGCTTTTAAGGCCGATTGCGCTCCATGGGCCAGCTTTAGGGATGGCGAGAGCCCGGCCCCAGCGCGTCCAAACATCTTCCCTTGGCCACGAGGTCACGGTGGCGGCTTTGGGGAAACCACGGATCCTTTTCGCTCCTACAGATCTGCAGTACAAATCAATCATAACACTGACCCCGTACAGGACTGTTCAAGGGATTGCCTGGAGGCGCCTTGAACAGTTCGAAAGCGCTATATAAATGTCATGGAGGAATATTGTTGTGAAGGAATTTGTGTTTCAAATATGCGAGATTCTTTCCGAGTCGGTAACTCTGAGGTGCCCACCTGCCCTGAAACATTATTCTTATCCTTAGGAGGGATAGAAATGACCCTAGACTTTCCCTACAATGACTTTTAGCATGCAATCCTATGCATATTTAGACAAAAACGTTCTGGAACTTCCAGCATTTCATCGGCGTTGACTTTTCTTTTTCCTGTTAAAAGGTGCATAGGATTCTGCCCTTCGCATGATTGCTGGCTGGCCACTAGTGGAAACTGAATACTGGGTTACTATGGGCCTCGGTCTAAGTCGGGAAAACTCTCATTTCCTGGCCATTGCTTTTGCAAAAAACATTTATTTTAAAAATGCGAGAATTGTCTGCCTCATTTCGTATGGTTTGGCATAATGAGTTTTAAAAGACACCTGAGCTTGAAGAACTCCAGGCAAAGCTGAGCACTTGAGGGAGCAAAGCTGGGGATGTACGGACAGGAGACAATCCTGCACTTCCCAGCACTCGTGGGCGCTGCAGGCTGCGGGGGTTTCTGTCTGTCTGTCTCCATTTCTATGCCGCCCCGTAACCCAAAGGTTCTCTTTTGAACATCGGATGTCCTCCTCAAATTCCGTGCGTTCTGCACACAGCAGATTCAAAGTGTTCTCACCTCCCGTTGAAATAAATGGGGCGAGTTGCCCAAGTCGGAAAGAAACCCCCTTGTCTTCACTGGGAAGTTCAGGGCAGGCCATCTTTAAAGTGAAAACTCATTGAATTCAAACGCTGTGCAGGATTTTCCAGTAGGCGTGTATAGGATTGCAATATTACAAGAAGTATTTCGTTTCGGCAAGACTGTGATGTGCCTTAAAAAAAAAAAAAATCTGCCCAGCAGGGTAATCCAGTACTTATCTGCTCCGCATTAAATCCCATCGAATGCAATGGGAGTTATTCTCTATTGCAGGCTCACTCTTGTCAAGCCGGCGTTTGTTTATTTATTTGGAATTTTTGTATGCCGCCCCATTCGCATGAGCCTCGGGACGGCTTACACACAGACGCAAGCACTGATCGGGCGGAATCCACTTGCAAGAGAGCCGAAATCGCTCTCCTCGCTGAGCTCCCGCGCCAAACAGGAGAGCCGGCCGGCCGGCCAGCGCTTGCGCTTCCTCGCTTCGGTGGATGGCTCTGCGCCGCTTTTGCATTTTGAGCGCCGGAGGACGCGCGTTCCTCCCCCAGCCCCCAAGTCACTTCCGCTCGCGGCCGTGGGTCAGGTCTAAGATGTGGGTCCGCGCAGCATCCGGCGCGGGTGCAATTTGATGAGCCGCCTTTGCTCGCACGTTAGAGAAGGGCTGCTGGCGCAGGCGCAGGCGCAAATCGCTCAGCGCAGTCTCGCACCCGAGGGTGGAGTGACACGGGGCAGCGCAAGGATCGCTCGTTCGACGCATCCGCTTGCCCGCGTGGCGGCATACAGGGCACCCTCGGCTCTTCCTAGGCTTTCCTGGGTGTCCCCAAGCGCCGGGCACGTAGGTGCGGAGCGCCTTTTTGTCACCGGGCAACCTTTGTGGAAGGCCTTCTCCTCTTTGCACAAATCGCTTTTTTATGATGTGCATATAATTTCGTACAGATGTTAAAAGAACTGGACCGAGCGTGCGTGCGTGCGTGCGTGCGTGCGCGCGTGTGTGTGTGAGAGAGAGTTGCTATCGATTTCTGGAGGGTACCTACTAATATTAAACAGTTTGTCGGGGCGGGCGCACGAACCTGGTTTTCTTTTTCGCTTTCGGTGTAAGAGGGGCGATGCTTGTACGTCACTCGCTGGCAAGTTAAGGGCGTTCGAAATGCCTTGTCCAAATCCGAGCACGCATCGCTGGCGCTTCCCACCAAACTGTTCCACACGTGCGCGCTCGCCTCAGCCCAGATGACGCGGTCCGCTTTTGCTCAAGGTGAGCCGCGTCCCCAGCTAAGACCAATGCAGAGCCTCGATCCAACCCCCGCCTAAATCAATTTAAACGGGATTTTTAAATCCCCCGATTTCAGGGGAAGGTGCCTCTTACCTTACAGATGGAGCGTCATTCGATTCTACATCCCGATGTAGTTACAACATATTTTGCTCGCCGCTCTGTGTGTTGGCTCCTTCAGAGATTTGTGCACCAGGGTTTTTCATGAAAACCTCTTTTTTACTTGATCAATCTGGAATCATTGTAAAGCAGCCCCGGAACGGCTCGATCGAGTAATCGATCAGTTCTGGAAGTAATAACAACCACAATAATGGTGGCATATTAATGAAACCACCCGACTTGCCTTTCCGAAATTGCACGTAATAATAACAATCATGGTATCTACGAGGATTGTTGTACCGAATGCGGGCATAGTGGTCTGTGCTTAAGGACTTTGACCCAAATGATATTGAACACCGAAACTTCCTCCCGAGTAAGCATGCACAGCATCGGTCCGGTTTCATTTCCTTTTGATTCCCTTTTTTATTTCAAAAGCAAGAGTCCCACGGCTGGGGCGAACTGGGTGGGAATTACTCTAGAACAGAGACAGCCCGATTCCGAACTAAGCTAAAGCCAGAGGGATCGCAGCGAAAACGGTTTAGAGGATCAACCCCCGCTGAACCTAAACAGCCTAATCCGCAGGCCGCTCGTTTAAATGCCACTGCCATCAATAAAACACTCCATGCGGCCCTTGTGAAGTTGGAGGCACGGAAAACAATTCGGACGTTTCCCAGTGAAATTGACTCAGCAACATCTAATTTGTGAAATGGACAAAATCGCAGCGTAAAATTCAGTTCGTACAGGATGCTGATTTTTTTTTTCTTTTAAAAAATTAAATCTGCTGGTCGATCAGACCAGAAAGCAAACTTTCTCCCCTCCCCAAGAGCCCGGCAAGTTTCAAAACTTTCCCCCCACCTCTACCTGTCCGGAGAAGGTTTTCTGGGCGCTTTGGCCGGCCAGGTCCTGCTTTCAGGCGTCCCTTGGAAGCGAGGACTTCAGCTCTTCAAACAGCGACAGAAACCAAAGAGGAGGAGGAGGAGGAGCAGCCGGGAGAAGAAGGCGCTCCGAAAGTGAAAGCGAATCTTTGGGAAGAGCGGAAAGGTCGCTGGAGGAGAAAAGAGAGACAAGGAGGTCGGGAACGAAAGACGACTGCTGTAGACTGAAGAACAGCCTCCTGGGCTGGGAGGGGAGGCGAGCGGCTTGGCTTGGGAAGGAGGGCGCGGAGATGGAGAGAGCTGCCTCTCGAAGGGTTAAATAAACAGATCGCCCGGCGGGAAAATGACATTTGTCTCAGCTGCCGTGCTCCTGCCGCAGCCCTTCTAACCCGAGGGGAATCGAAGCAGGATCGCGCCCCCCCCCCGCCCCGCAAGCGCGGTTCCGCGCACTCCCTCTTCAAGAGAGAAAGCACGGAGCGCTTCCCCGGAGCAATCGCTTTCGGGCCATCGGTACCCACTCCGCACGCACGGAAAACAAAATTATTACGTGGCCTTAAATCGGGTGTGGCGCCCCATGTGCGCTGGATTACAACTCCCAGCATCCCCCAGCCGGCCACGGGATGCCGGGAGTCGTCGACATCTCATCTGGTGAGCACCAGGCTGGGGAAGGATCCTTTAAGGATGCAGACCCTATCCGGAGAAAATGATCGCGCATTAAGGCCCAGATCCTATGCAGGATTGCCAGTGGGGAATGCTTTCAGTGAAACAGGTGCAGGATCGGACTGCGCTAAAATCTATGGGGCCAGTAAAAGCAAACACCCACCATTCCCATCCCAGCCACTTCCCATTGTTCCTGGAGGAATTAAGCTCCGCTACTAATGGAATTGCGCTGCGCTCTTTAGGATCACTGCGCTCTGATCCTGGACTTGCTTGTTCCAAAGGTAGTCCTACTCTGGTCTTTCTTCCAGGTAGGTGTCGTAGGATTGCAGCCTGAGCGAGTCCCTCAGGATGCGTTCTTTTCCATGGGATTGAAACGCGGCTCACTCTCGCTCTAGGGATCCCAAACTGTTTTAGGATCAAACACACTACGTGTGGTCCTACCCATGCAAAGCGATAGTGAAGTTTTTAGGAAAAGATTTAAAAGAGAGAGGGGGGAAAAACAACACGAGAGAGAAAAGAATGACAGAAGCAAAAGAATGGGAAGGACCCAACTAAGTGAGACTCACAGTTTTGCTTATCAATCAGAGAGCATTTTGACCCTCAGGTAATGGAGACCTTCCTGCGAAGTCGCGGAGGGCAACCAACGTGAGAACGTCACTGGCTTCCTGCAGGACGCGCCCGTCCTCTGCTCTGATCTGATTCAGGGCCATAAGCAGGAAGAGAATGGCTTCCTTTAGAGGTGATCATGAGGATGCATGCTGACACGATCCCCTTAGTGGGCTGGGGCTGATGGGACTTGTAATTCTACGTAATTGAGGGGGGTCCATTTTCCCACCTGAGAGATAATTTGGTTTATAATTGCAGCTGAGCTCAGTTACCTGCCTTGCTCTGGATCTTTTTCTAGCCAGGGTGTATGTAATTATAATTTTCCCCCAGTGAAAGAACAATTCTTTTGAATAACATGGCTGAATGGTAATTTTCTTAGCTTGCAGAAAGGTGTTCAAATAGCAAGTCTCCTTACTTGCAGTGTTCAATAGTTTTACTGAGTTTTTAAGGGGTAGTGATGGGGAACCAAGTACAATTATTTAATCAAAGTGAGGCTGTTAATTTTCATGGATGTCAGTGAGAGCCAAGAATAGGAATTTGGCTTCCATTGAATGCCACAGGCCTTGAATAGGGCAATCCTATACATACCTATCCAAAAGTAAGCTCCATTCAGTTCAGGGGCACTTAGTTCCATATAAATGTACACAAGATCGGAGCCCAGAAAGCTTAATTTTGACTGGATTATGCCCAGGTTGTATTCTTTTGGCAGTTAGACACCATTATTACAAAACGGACTTGCCGGCAAGATTTAAGATTTATGGTTTGTTTGTTTGTTTTTTTGAAACCAGTGGGGCATCCTATCTAAAATGGCTTTTAAACTGATTTTTTTTTTTAAATGTTCATAATGTGAATCATAGTTCTGAAAGTTTGCATAATGCTGAACTTGGGTGAAATTACCAGGGTCAGGTACCTGAAAATCTCATTGACATTGGATGGGATGTAATTTTGTATGAATGTCTTTCACCACCTCCAGGTGCTTCAATATCACCAGGTCGCACATGAAGGTCATCTAAATACATCCAAAAAGGAAGTCAAGTGATGTAATGGCAAATATGCAGGTAAACAGTGGGAATCAATGATTGTTGATGAAAGCCTTTCCTTTCCTTGCCTTTCCTTGCCTTTCCTTTCCTTGACAGGCTAAATTTTAAATGGATGTTGGGGCATTCTTTTGCAGAATCATTTAGTTATCCCATCATCTGAAATCTAGCTTTCCCTGTATCTGTAGGTATATGATCCTGATATTTTACATGCATTGATTGGAACTGAATAAGCAGATTTAATCAGTTGAGTTAATACTTGTGCCATGCGATGGGACGGCATACAAATACTCTAAACAAATAAATATTGCTTTATGAAACAGAGCACAGAACTTTGATGTGGGTTTTCAATGTTCAGTCTGAGATTATGCAATGAAATTATGGCACTGTAGAAATCATGATCTGCCTTCAGTGAGCCAGTGTGGTGTAGTGGTTAAGAGCCTGGGACTGGGACTCAGACGATCTGGGTTCTAGTCCCCACTCAGCCATGGAGCCAACTGGGTGGCTTTGGGCCAGTCACAGACTCTCAGCCCAACCTACCTCACAGGGTTGTTGTTGTGGGGATAAGATGGAGGAGGAGAATGATGTCAGATGCCTTGAGCCTTTTGTAGGAAAAAGGCAGGATATAAATCACAATATAAATGAATAAATATAAATTGTAGGCACCATCCACAGCTCACTAACAGTGAACTTCTAAAAGTGGAATTCATGGCTAGTGTGGGATTATGGGTAAAGTTACACTGAAAACAATCAGCCATGCACGACACCTGGTATAAGTGTGTCTGCGTGTAGCAAAATGCTCTTACATGTGGTGTGTTCAGAATTCATACTGATTGCGGTGATCCCGACACACTGAAGCACGGTTACATAGCAAGCAAGGGATTTGGTGGGAGAACATGCTGGCCTGGCATTTCACCCCTTCCATTAAATAGAAATAATAAAGATAGAAGATCTTTATATAATAAAGTTAAGCAAATTTCTCTCTCTCTCTCTCAGACATACACACACACTTTTAGATGCATACGTATTGCAAAGATGATTTCTAAGTATTATATGTGTTTGTATCCAATATGTCTTTGCAAATATATGCACTGTAAGTACAAGTCCATTCAGCAGATAGTCAAGGATGGCCGATGCATGCACACCCGGTGTCACACTGGGGTCTGTTCCACACAGTGGGTGAAATGTTTCACACACAATCCAAGAGCTGGTGTGGTGGTCAGAGTGTTGTGTCAGGATGAAGAGGGACTGCGTGCTAGTTGCAGCTCTTCCATGAAACTCACTGGGTGAGCCAGTCACTGCCTCTTCGCCTAACCTACCTCGCAGGGCCCTTGTGAGGATAAAATGGGGAGGAGGGGGAGGAGGATCATGATGCTCCGAGAAAAGGTGGGATATAAAGGTAACAATCAAGTAAGTAAACAAGGATTTGATGATGCCATACAGATATCCGATGCAAATGAATGAACAAGGAGTGTTAGTTCTTGAGTAAACAAACAAAGCAGAAGCATCATATGAGCTCTTTTCCACTCCATGTAACAATAGCCATTGTTCTCCTTTCAACATTTAGCTGACAAAACGTGAGAGCTCGTTATTTTAAGTTGTGAAGGAGGTTTCACTTTTGCTGTTTTTGCAAGTTGCTTTGAGAAGATTTAGGATAGAAGATGACAATTACATGTTTCAAACTAGTCCATCAATCAGACTGAGATAAAAAAGGTCCTTTATGAGTACAAGCACCGATCCAGCCTAAGCTCAGTACTTCCAAGGCCCATTGATTTCAATGGAACAAATGTACAGCTGTATTTCTCAAGTATATACTAGGTTAAACTGAATGGTATTTACAGAGCAATCTTAAGCAGGTTTATTCAGAAGTTAGACCCATCAAATTCTGTGGAGCTTACCCCCAGGAAAATGTGTAAATGGACTGTTACCCTAAGGTTTTGTATAGCCCTTTCATTGATTTCAATGAACATCACATAATCTTTATTTCAGTGGCGCTCATGATCCTACACCACATCTCCAATTATTTTAAGGTGAAATGTTGTGGTTGAAGCTTTTTTGCCTATGTCTGAGTAATTTTTGTACAACCCACAAGCAAGAAATCCTGTTTGGACAATATGGACTTCCTCAAGCGTTCATCACTAGTCACGTGCAATTCCAATGCGGCATGTGCAAGAAAAGTTCCAGGGGATAAATAAATGCAGCTTTATTCCATCCTGGGTGGGACCTGAAATGGCTGTATGAACTCCAGGAAATTCACCCAAACTACCTGCCCTCAAATCGTCGGGTAAAGAAACTGACAATAGTGAACACTGGCATTCTCAAAACTGGTACTGCCAGGGAGTGTTGGACTACCGTTCCCTCAACCAGCAGGCTGGGGATGATGGGATCTATAGGGCAACACATCTGAAAGGCACTGTGTTGGTCTCCATGTTAGTTCGAAACACTGTGAAATTTCTTCTGATATTGACTGGGTTCAGAAATAGGATAACTCACTCTGCAAGGGTGAGTATAACCTGACTGCAGGTTGTCGTTGAACCATTGGTTGTTGTTCTGTTGTGAACTGTGGCTTATTCATGGTTAACAACCCATGAATTGCTTAGCAGAGCTGCCTTCAGGCAGCACAAGAATCTACATTTTAATGGCAACCCACACTCAAGCCATACTCAGCCCTGGAGTAGGAGTTACGTGTTGTCTGAATAGAGCCATTGTGCATGCTGTTCTCAGCTTCAGAACGGTGAAACAGGAGCTGAGTTACACCTCTGCCGCTTGGGTCCAGGGCCTTTGCAGAGAGAGGCTGTGCTTTGGCTCCTTGTTTCTATGAAAGAGCTGCTTTTCCAGAAAGGGATGGTTTTTTTTCCTTCTGCAAGGCTTGATCCTAGGAGGAGGAGGAGGAGGACGTGGCTATTTTGGTGTATTAACCTCTTTGTGTCCAGGTGAAAGGTTAAATTCACATGATTCATGGGAGACTGGAGATAGCACTCTGTTGCTAGGCGTTTGGGGAATGCAGAGGGCCCTAGCGAAGGAGTCGGACTAATCTTTAAGGGAGAG